CATTATGACAACAACAACAATACCAATAATAAATAGTAACAATGCCATCTATACTTATACATTGAAGTACATAAAACACAATAATCAAGCAGATAGCCCATTCAAGAGATAAAAACAGTACAAATCCCAAATCCAGCAACTGGCTTCCAGTGTGAGTTATGGCTAGAACAGTGGTCTCTAACAGGTTGAATACCAGTGGCTGAGGAGATCACATCATTGCTCTCAGTAGAAGCAGAGCCTTTCATAAGGACACTAAACCAGCTGAAGTCACTTTCTTATCACATTTGGAAACCACTTTATGGATATTAGAGATCTTCAAAACAGTTTACTTTGACAGCTGGTGAGTTTTACCTTCTTTGATTTAAGACATTTTAGATAGAAACGTACGAATTTAAAATAATATACAATTTGCAAAAAGAAAAAAAAAGATTTTAATAAAGTTTGGAAAACCAAGATTTAAAATTATTTTTTTTAAAAGAATACAAACAATAAAGACAATAAAGACAAACAATACACTGATGTGCAAATAGAAAAAAGAGGAGTACAGTAACTGAAAAGGCCCACCCCTCTACTGGTAGTATTCATTTAACAACCATTTGCAGTTATGACAATGAAATAGTAACTTTATGATCAATCATCACAATTGCAAGGTCTGTAAAGCCAAGAAAAGTATAAATAACATCATAAACACACAGTTGTGGCTTCACTTTGCAACTGCTCGATTTAACACCCAAGATGCTGGGTCCAATTGTGGTTGTTCAACGAGGACTTCGTATAGTCCCTACCGATGAAAACATTCAGAGAAAACCCATTTTACCAATCAGAATTGGGAGTAGGCAATCTGAAGGATAGCCAAATTAATTGCACTCAGAAGCCAACTGAACAATTCCGTTCCCAAAGAAGCAGCGTGAAATGAGAAAACCAAGATGCCTCCCTAAATGCTTAAGCTATTGTATTGTGGACCAACTACAGCCTCCATGTCATCTTTACGGACAGTCTCATATAGTGGCTCATGCAGCAGTCCAGTGGTGGTATTCAGCAGGTTCTGACCAGTTCTGGAGAACCGGTAGCGGAAATTTTGAGTAGTTCGGAGAACCAGCAAATACCACCTGACTGGAGATTTTACAGGATCCTTCCCCTGCCACTCCCACCAAGCCACGCCCACAGAACTGGTAGTAAAAAAAATAATTCAATCCCACCACTGCAGCAGTCCAAATGAGAGACGCATGATACGTGTGAAGACTGCCTTTTCTCCAGGAGGGATTGTCACTGGCACTTAAGATGAATCAGTTCAAAGACTCCCATTCAGCATGGCCACAAATTCATATTATTCTCATTCAAAAATTTGCAAACAATTCGATTCAGTCAAGAGATGGAAACTTGGGGGGGGGGGACTTTCTACAGTTCGTTGACCAGAAGTGATGGTATTTTTGAAGGGAAATATAGTCAAAGCCAAATATTTTCATAATGGGGTTTACCATTTCAGCAGGGAAAAAGTCTTTTCTATTTGGAAACTGTTTGGGTGGAATTTTGTTTTTTTACCTCATCCAGGCCTAATTATGAGAATGCAGAAAATCCCTAAAGGGAGGCAAAACATCTTTTATTAGCATTTCCTGTCAGATAGCTGCATAGTTAGTATTGTTTTTAGTATTCAGGGATACACAGATTTTTTTAAAAGGAAGGTAAGAGAAAGAAATGAAAACTGATGAGCCATGTAGGATATGTCAAAGAAAATGAAAATCAGAATAAAAATGATAGGGTAGTGTGTTGGTAAGTACCGTCTCTAAAATGAATGTGAAAGCTACTTCTACAATCAGCAACTGGTCCAATTGTTAGAAAGCTGGTATATGAGCTACAGGAGCACAATGCATTCCTGACACCCAGTGGTCAGTCGATAAAGGTGCAAGATATTTTTCTACATTCTCCAACCATTCACGTCTATATTGGAAACAGCTAGTACCAAATCTACTTATTTCATAAAAGTATCTTTCATTTTATAATCCAAATTATTTTCATATTAGCATCCTCCGAATATGTTGGATTACAATGGTCATAATTTTCAGCTATCAGGGTTATAGTTGCTCCCAATTACTTTATTTTATTTATTTATTTATTTAATCAGTTTGTATAGATACCCATCTCAACCTGTGACTCTGGGTGATGAATAATCATAAAAACAATTAAAAATCAAAACAAGACCTAAAAATTAAGAAGAAATAGTTATCAGGAGATGTAAACAATCGGTATCAACATAACCAGGAAATGGGGCCCTTCACTCGCTTGTGGCCTCAGGCCTGGGCATAAAGCCAAGTCTTTAAGGCTGTAGGAAGTTATCACCCACCTCTCTCCTAGAAAAATGAAATATCCTAGGAAATATTAAAAAGGCAGACTATTTTCCCTAAAAAAAGAGTAGAAACTCTGAAGCAGAAACTCAGCCCCCCTCTACCTTTGCTAATGGGCCATTACTCTGGCCTAGGCCAGCCTATTATACATAACAAAGATCTCCAGGTAGAGCTATAGGAATTGCCCAAAGCCCTTTCATTACATCATCATCCAGCAAGGCTCAACCAAGCCTGGGACTCAGGACAATCTACAAAGTTGCCCCTGCATGGCTCCATGGGACTCTGACAACCAATCAGAATACAAGTTCAAATTCAAATCCCAACAGAGGGTATAAAACTAGGCACTCTCAGCATATCAGCCCTTCTCTTTTTTCTTCACCCAACATCTTGAAGCATGTGATCATCCTTCCTTCTTTGGAGCTCCAAGCCATGTGGTCTTGTCCACCATTAAATATCTTTCCAAACAGCCTCCATGTTTCCAGTGTCTTTATCCCCACTTGGAACTGAACCCAGAAGGATAATTCTTCCAACAAGGCCTTGTGAATGAAAAGCCAGTGGGGTTAGACCCATCCTAATCTCTGGAGGGAAAATGCTCCAGAGGGCAGGGCTATGGCAGAGAAGTCTTGCCATTTGGTCCCTGCCAGTCAACATTTCCTGGCTCCCAGAAGGTATCTGAAGTATCTCAATCTCTATAGAAAGCTTCAAGTCAAAGACTGGCTCTGCATAACCTAAATCAAATTTAAGGGAACATGGCTGGGCACCTGTGGCTTTCCAAAAGCTGAACCATAACTGCTTGCAACTGCCATCAGAATTACTAATGGTAACGCATGCTGGGAGTCAGAGGTGTCCCTGGGTATGATTACAAAAATTTGTATTGTGATTTTTGATTAAGTGATTAAGTGATTTTTGATTAAGTGATTATGATTAAGTGAAGATTATCCATTTGATTCACAGACCAAAAAGGACAGAGCTGTGATTGTATCTTCATGACCACCATCTTCACTTATTAAAACAACAGTTACCTTCTAGGAGCAATTATTCAGCAATATCTGGATATCTATAGGCAAGGGGAGGCTTGCTTCCAAGCAGTCATGCCTTATTGATAAATCTACGCAGTTTTCTTGGTGAAGTTTTTGGAAATGATTTGCCACTGCTTTCTTCCTAAGGACTGAGAGAGTGACCAGCCCAAAGATACTTAGCTGACTTTCATGCTTAAGGCAGGGCTGACATTCCATTTTGGTGTTTGGTCTTAAGGTTTCAGGCATTCAAAAACACTCAGCGCATCTGTTTTGAAGCTTGCTCTCTCCTCCCCCTTTTAATAATGTGGAAAATAGCACTACTGAAAAGCAGTTATTTATTGCCCAATTTTAAGAATAGGATTCCAGAGAGCTCTGAGGACTATAAAAATGGGGCTACATCCCAAATTCCAGACAGATAGCAATTCCTGAATTAGAGTTATTTTGGCCAACCTGCTGGGTAAAGGTGATGGAAATTATAGTCTACCAAACTGCAAGGTGCCAACTGGAAGTCTAAATTACAAGTCACTTGGGTAGCAAACACAACTGATGGCAGTGGATGTAATTTGTCTTAGAAAACAAAATTCTTGTAGATGTGGTATCAATCGCAACAGAATATACTTCCCATATACCCTGAAGACAATCTTAAATCACAACCAAGCACACTCTAAGGCAGTGCTTGCTTAAATAAGGTGTCAGGTCTTGAGCACTTGTTAAACATAAAGCAATAGAATGAAAACTGTATTTGAAATATAAATCCAAATATATGCCACAATTGGATGGGTTCACATAACAGACTAAGGCACGTGTTGGTTTCCTAACCCACTGTTAACTTCACCGAAGTCTCAACTCAAACAAAGTATATTATTAAAGCCTATTAAAACTTCATTATTAGTAGCCTTCCTTAGGCTTGGATTATTACACTTGAGTTCAGCAGTGAGGAAAGCACATATTCCTAGAATTGGAAGGCTGAATCTCGGACTCCTGAGCTTAGAATCGCAGGTTGGAGGGAACTTTAAAGGTTTTCTAGTCCAACCCTCTGTCCAATGCAAGTATCCTGATACAATTCCAGAAAAAAAGGCTATGCAAACCTTTCTTGAAAATCTCCAGGGAAGGAGCACTCATCATTCCAGGAGGCGGGCTGTTCCACTATTTAGGATCACCATTCTGAGACTATGTAATATATGCACAAACAGCTGCCTTCCTTGAGAGCGCTGCTGTCGGCTCCTATAGCTGTTCGAGAGGGGAAAACACTGGAAGAGATCCGAAAAGAAAATGGAAAACGAGGGCAACACGGAAGACCCTAAACCGAGGGTATCCGATCTTGAGAAGTTTAAGATTTGTGAACTTCAACTCCCAGAATTCCCATGGCCGCCTAGGGAATTCTGGGAGTTGAAGTCCAGAAGTCTTGAAGTTACCAAGGCTGGATACCCCTGCTCTGTACAATAAAGCCTCGCTGCTCGATAGACCAGTCAGACCCGATCTGACTTCTCCGAGTGCTTTTCCGGCACCGAGGAAACTTCCAAATAATCCGTTTTTCACCTCTCCCTCCTTCAAGCGCTTCTGTGGCTCCCACACCGGAGGAGGAGCTCATCCCGCAACGGGAAAGAAAACCCCTCCCTCGGAATCCGCACATCCCTCTTGGCTCCGTTTAGCCGGGGTCGGTTTGGGTTGGGGCGTTGTTGCAGCATGGCAGATCCGGTCACGGAGCAAATCAGCGCTCGAACTGATTGGCAGCGCGCCCGGGAAGACCCCGCGGAATTGCCCGTCGCCGCTCAGCGCTTGGTGGAGGACGCGGTGGGAAACAGGATCCCCTTTGGGACTCTTTACAAGGATCAGAAGACGATCGTGATCTTCTTGCGGGTGAGAGAGAGAGAGAGAGCCCCCCGCCCACCCCCACCAGCCTGGCTGTAACAAGCCATCTGGGGGATTGACATCGTAGTTGCAGCCTCCAAGTTGATTGAAGCGTTCCTGGCTAAGCTATAGCATGGCTAATCTTTGGTTTGTAAACAGGCATCTTGGATTTCTATTAATAAAGTTTATTTAGCCCATTATGATTGACAACCCGACAGATCGGACTACAAATGGTAACCATAAGATGTTGGTATTCTGCGTAGCGGTTTGGAGCTTGAGCTGGGCTAAACTTTGGGGGGGGAGGGGGCGTTATTTCGCCCAGGGCAAGGGGCTTCCCGAAGCCGCGGCCGATTTCTCTTAGAAATCGCTCGCGGCCTACTTCTGAATAAGCATGTGCAGGCCACGATCCCGCGTTTCGTCCAAACGCGGGAGCCAATGTTAAGTTACTTAATTTAATTTAATTTGGTTCACAGAAAGGTAGAAGCAAAGCAATCACACTAAGGCTGTGCCTGGTCTGTAAACCGGCCACCGAAGCTTGTGGCTTAGGTTGTTTTGTAAACACACCTCTTTGTAATTTAGACAGGAAAGTTGGTAAACTGGATCAGCACTGTGCTTGAATGATGTAGAACATTTATTTATTGCCCTGTGTGGTACCCTGATTTTTATGAATTCAACACACAGGAACAAATAAAACAGACTTCAATAAACAGAAGATTATCTTGCAAAGGTATGATATGACACCCATTTGTTTTTTCCCCCAGCATTTTTTGTGTTATGTCTGTAAAGAATATGTGGAGGATCTGGGCAAAATTCCCAAGAAATTTTTGCAAGTAAGTACAAGCAAATGTTATACATATAATATGGTTACTAACACAAACATTTGTAATCTCCCTAAAATTACATACTGTGATGTTGTTTATATATATATTATATATGTTATGTGTGTTTTAGAAAAAAAATGATTACCTGGGGTTTATTGATGTTGACTCCCAAGAAAATGTAGCTATATTTTAATCTTAGAAGTGCATGTTCAAGATCATCAGCCTTTGAAATATTGTATAATTTAAGATGTTGGAGGTTGATTATATTATATATGATATGGTATACAGTGTACCATAGAAGTAATTATTGTCAGGTTATACAGATTTGGAGAAAATCCATTGATATGTGATTTAGCTAATCATCCACTATTGAAATTTCATCTGCCCTCAGTTAATCTCTCCTTAAAGAATCATAATTACCTATCTGAAGATTTTCTGGAAGACCTTTGAGGTCACTAAACCACAATAGATTTTGAAATATTTAGAGCCCTTGCATAGACTTTGAAGTCAGGTATATGAAAGATACTTACAGTTACACTGGCTCCTGGTGAGTTTATAGCACACTTAATTGTTAAGGGCCTAATGATTTGAAAACAACTAGAGGGTTTAAAGACTGAATTTTCCCATAGGTATCTCAGATATTTTTGAAAATTGCTCTGCCTTGATGGTTAAATAAATGATGGGATAAGGGCATTTCAGTTTTGCCAGTTGGTTTTGAGATATTTTTCAAATTAGGTAACAGTTAAATTCCAAGCCTTTTAGATATTTAACATGCTACATATTTGAAAACATTGCTTAGCGTTCCTATTATTTACAGTTATTATGATTTTAAATTCCTAATCTCTAAGAATTCCTTTAAAAAGAAAGCTAAGATCCCTGGTATCTTAGACAGTCCCAGTTCTAATTTAATGCTTGTAACAGGTTGCTTTTCAACAATGTGATAGGGCAGAAGTGGCAGAATGAACACTGCAGAGGGCCATATCCATTTTCCTAAGGAGCTCTGTAATAAAAGTTGTTAATACTATCTCAAGTATACAGCCTCTGGCACCAGCAAACAATGATTCACTGTGCTATTGTCATGGGGATGTTTCTTAAATGACTAGCATTCAAATAACAATTCTAAAGTATTAATAGTATAATCAATAATATACAATTAACTCAAATATGCTGTCTTAAATACTTTTAGATTACTATCTCCACTAATGGAAATTTATTATAAATTCCTAGAAAACCATTAATATTAGGGTGATAGGCTGGTCTCAACCTCATCTTGACAGGGGTTATTGGGTTAACCTGAGTTAACCTGTCTGGATTTGCCCAATTCATTGAATTATCAAATAACCATAGGAGCTAAATTCATACACTCTGCTATGCCAAAATAAATATTCTACCAGAATTTAATTTAATATATTATGTAATACAAACACTAGGTATTTAATTACATGATGCCTCAGCTGCTATGCAGTCCAGGTTTCTGGTATTGCTATATAAAACACAATGCTTCATACTGAGAAAGTAACTTGATCAGGCCTCTGTTGTCAGGGTATAGATGTGGAGACCCATTGCTTTTTGTTAAAAGTTGCTTCCTACCCTTTTCTCAGTGGGACAATATGTACAGGAACTCATTTCCTGTTGTTAAGTGATACAGCTGGTTATTTAAAAGTAGAGGCCATGCCTTTTTATGAAGTTGCTTTAAAGAAGTCCAAGCCTTTGTTAAAGCAATAATTGCTTCAAAGATTTACACTAATCTAATTTTTAGTTTGGCATAGAGATTGGGTTGTTAAGTATTGGTGGGCAATTTTAAGATTTTTGTTGTTGTTTTTGCTTTAGGATGCAAATGTTAGACTTGTGGTTATTGGGCAATCAGCACATCATCACATTCGGGTAAGTGTAATTAAAAATCCAGTTCATTCTGTTGAGGTAGTGGTAAATGCAGCTCTTTTGTTTCAGTATTTGCACCTCTAAGCTTGTCCACCAATAAACACATTCACACACACACACACACACACATATATATATATATATATACACACACTATATATACATGTATGCATATCTTGATATAAATAAGACTGCTTATTTATATCAGTTTTGAAGGCTCCTTTTCAAGTTCCTGGAAATTATCCCCATTCTTTTTAGGAGGAGGTACTTCCATCATGTATGCTTAGAGCTGCCAAAGCCCAGATTAAATATGTTTAATAATTGGAAGGAAATTCTGCTCAGTGGGATGGGACTTAATTAAAGGCCAGGCTGACAGGATTGCACCATTTGCTTTCAAAAATAGAACTGCATTGGGTATTACATTGATACTTAACATATATTGTTTGCAGCCGTTTTGTAATCTGACAGGTTACCCTCATGAAATATATGTAGATCCACAAAGAGAAATTTATAAAATTCTTGGCATGAAAAGAGGGGAATCCTCCAGCTCAGCAGGTGGGTTGTATTGCTGACTTCCATTATCAAAAACTACTAATATATTTTACCTAATGATATGTATACTGAAACTGTACTTTCAGTATACAAAGTACTGTACTTTGTTTTACATGCATACAAAATCAGGAATACCATGCCAATCTCATTTGATTATAGAATTGGAGGGGCCATTATGGCCATTGTATAACCTCCTGTTCAGTGAAGGAATCCAAATGAAAGCATCTTTGTCAGTGGTTGTTGTCTAGTCTGTCCTATAGCAAAGTTAGCTGGGGAATTCTGGAAGTTGAAATCCACCCGTCTTAACGCTACCAAGGTTGAGAAACACTGATCTATAACAGGCATCAACTGAAGAAAAGTTCCTTAGGAGTTTGTTGTTTTGCCAAACTGCATCTGATGTTGATTCAAACCTGAATATATTCTCCAACCGTGGAATATCCTAGACCAGGGATGTCAAACTCACGTCGTCACAGTGACATCACATGACATATTGAGACTTTTCTGTCCTTCACTAAAACAAGTGTGGGTATGGCCAGCCATGCTGCATCCAGACCACGGACCATGAGTTTGACTGCCCTGTCCTAGACAGTGAAAAATCATGCAGAAATGTTTCTCATGTAGATGTGTTAGAGTCTGAGGTAGTTTGATTTAAAGCAGGGGTCCCCAAACCCTGGGCCATGGCATGCTAGAAACTGGGCCACGCAAACAAACGAAGTCCCATCCGCAGGATGCAGGCAGAACACAAAACTATAGCCCCTCCTGTCTACAGAAAAACCTCTCTCCACGGAACTGATCCCTGGTGCCCAAAAGATTGGGGGCCGCTGATTTCTTTCCTTTGAACTTAGATCTGATCTTCCTGGAATTGATTGCTGAGAACTGTAGCCTAATGTATTCGTAATGATAACAGAGCTAATGTATGCTTTTTGCCAAATAAACTTCCTCTTCTGCTATCCTTTTCAGTACATAGCCCTCATGTGAAATCCAGTTGGCTATCAGGAAGCATTAAAAGCACGTGGAGGGCAATGACAAGCCCTGCATTTGATTTTCAGGGTGATCCAGCTCAGCAGGGAGGCACTTTCATTTTAGGACCAGGTAAAGTAACGATATATTTAGAGCTTTTTGTTGGCTAGGCAATCTATTTTATAATCATCAAAGCATACGCCTGTGAGTTTAAATTATGATAAAAAGTTGATCTTACCATGTATAAGGGCTGTCATGTGTGAAGAATCGGGACCACATATTAAGTTCCAGTTAAGATTTATTGCTCAAATCTGTACACAAGAATTTAGTTAACTAATCATTAGCACTAAATTGGCGCTAGTTAACGTAATTTAAGGGAAGGCTGAACTTGGATTGCTTGTGGAAATGTAACAACTCCAGACTGGACTTGTGAGAACATAATAACTCTTCAGTCCACCCTTCAGTCCACCCCCAGATTCTGCCTGTTCTTACCCTAATAAGTTGCTACAGAAAGAAGCTGGTTATATTGGCACAAACACATTTGTAATGCAGGGAGGTTCGTCACACTCCTCTTCCCGACTTGACCAATGAATTTTCATCCATCAGAATTTTCTGTTTTCGTTCTTGGTCAATTTAAGTGGACTATGATCTAGTTAGTACTTGGATACAAGACTTTGCACGGCACATGGACACACTCCTCTTCCTGACTTGACCAATGGATTTTCACCCATCAGAATTTTCTACGTTCATTCTTAGTCAAATCTAAGCAGACTATGATCTAGTTAGTACTTGGATAAGAGACCATTAGGAACCTCTTGGCCTGTAGGCTAAAAAGGGAAATTTGGGGGGGGGGAGGAGAATCCAGAAAAAAGCAGTGGCAAATTAACTCGCTCTCTCTCTTTCTCCTTCTGTGTACATGTGTGTTTGTGCCCATACACAAGAGGATTACATATTGCCAGTTATCAGATGAAAAGCTCTATTAACATTTTTACTTTTTTAAAAAAGTTTTTTTTTTTAAATCACAACCAATTCAATGATCTTTATACTGATGTAACAACAGGTCCTTTCTATCCTTATTCCCAAGCATAGCAATAGGATTTCTTGGTGAAAAGGTTATTTTATCCAGATGCAGTGTTCAGGGAATATACAGATAGTCCTCGACATACAAGTCCAAAGTTTCCATGGATAAGCAAGGCAGTTGTTAAGTGAGTCAGGCTCCAATTTACGATCTTTTTGGCACATTTGTTAAGCAAATCATAGCAGTTGTTAAATGGATCATGAGGTTGTTAAATGAATCTGGCTTCCTCCATTTTCTTTGCTTGTTGGAAACCAGCTGGAAAGGTTACCAATGTGGAATACGTGACCCCAGGATAGTGCAACTCTCATAAGTACATGTGAATTGCCAAGTGCCCGAATTTTGATCACATGACCATGGGAATGCTGCTAGTTGTAAGTGTGAAAAACGATCATAAGTCACTTTTTTTAGTGCTGTTGTAACTTCAAATGTTATGGTTGCAAGTTGAGGACAATCTGTAGTCCGTATTGGCTAGATAAAATGCTGCTGCTGAACCTGCGTTTTGTGGAGATGAAAATGTTAATATTATTTGTTTCCCGTTTGTTCCAGATGATGAGATTCACTTTGTGCACCTTGACCAAAACAGGTTGGACCATATCCCCATTAATACTGTTTTGCAGCTTGCTGGAGTTAAAACAGTAGATTTTACCTATAGATCTCAGATTATTGATATATGAACTTTTAGAAGAAAAATACATCTGCCAAGACAAGTGATATATATCAGCCAACCATTGTGGCATTTCACCCATAATGAGGTTACTGTGAAATTAATAAAACAGAAGTAGCTCCAGAATAGATTTTTACACGCCAAAAAAAGAGCCTTTAAACTTAATATTGTGCTCAAGACACAATAATGCACCTAACAAGAAAACAAGCCATTAAACCTGCTGCGGAAAAGTAATGATTTTATGGAGTCTTTGGGTTTATTTCATACTATTCCAGTTAAAGTTTAACTGTTTTGTGTTAATGACTGAAATGCATGGATAACAATTGGTCTTTTTGCCTCTTCAGTGTTTAATTAAAACAAGACTTCAGATCAAAACAAAAATGCAAATTTTAATTGTCTATAATTGCTTTTTTGGAAGCCAAAGTGGTGTGTATGTTGTTCTGAAGTCTGTAAACTAGAAGCTAACTGAGGAAAAAGAACTTAGAGAATTAATTTCATGGTAGACTATTGACTGGGTAATTTTTAGTCTTGACACCCCACTGATCTTGAATTAAAAGTTATCTGCAATTTTTTCTGCAGTATTTTATTAAGGTGCACGCAACAGAATAAACAGTGTTACACCCAAGTAATGTGTTTCAGATTAAAGTTTTCAACTTTTGATCACTTTGATCCCAAGAGTTCAGAAAAGGAAAGCTCAATTATATATTGTAAGAGGTGGTAAAAGTATAATCGTGCAAGTGGTGTTAACATACAGTTAACCAGAAGCCCTCAGCACAATGCAGGTAGTCCTTGATTTACAACCGTTTAGTGACCATTCAAAATTACAAATGCATTGAAGTTTTCACAACCGTTGCCACATCTGCATGATCACGTGATCAACTGGCATATATTTATGACAGTTACATTGTCTTTGAGTCATGTGATCACCATTTGTAACTTTTCCAACAAGCAAAATCAACAGGGGAAGCCAGATTCACTTAATAACTGCCTGGTTCTCTAAACAACACTTGACAACTGTGGCAAAAAAGGTCATAAAGTGGGATGTGACTCACTTAACTGCCTTGCTTAACAACTGAAATGTTGAGTTCAATTGTGATTGTACTCCAAGGGCTACTTACAATGCTCCTTGGTGCCACCAGGAGTTCTAGTTGAGAAATATTGGTTAAAACTATTATTAATTATAGAGGATGATAGATTCTCCAGCTTTGATCTTCTAAGATTATTTATGAAGACATAAAGAAAAACTGAAAATGCAAAATGTATATAATATGTGGATTTAGTATTTTATTTAGCCTGACATTGGCAACTATGTAAAAATCAGTGCAGAATTGGAACATAATCGCTGTTAAGACAAAACGCACATATATACATGTGTTCTCTAGCAAGTTTCATACCTGCCAACTACTTTAGCCAGTTATAAATTTTTATTAAAAGATAGCTTCTTATTATATACTGTAATCCTCTCCCCCCTTGCCCCTGAAAAAAAATAGCAATAAACAAATTTTACAGAGGACTTTTAGCCTATATTTTCTAGCTATGTATTATATGTAATTTAACCTTTATCAAGTAGTAAATGTAAGGGACATGATCAGTTTTATAAACAGTAAAAAAATGTTGGGGGTTTACTCAACAGTAAATCATGAGTTAATTAGATCTATGGTTTATAAATTATTCCACACAGTATATCCATTATTCCACACAGTCCTCAAATACTCTACTTAAAGATTAATTTCCACAAGGCTTGATAGTGTATTTATTTCTTGGGTTTATATTCTGCTTTATATTTTCCCAATCACGATCTTATGCAGTAGATTGGGCTGAGACACAGTGATTTTCATGGTTGAAGATGCATTTCCCAGCTTCTGATCCAGTTCTGTAACCACTCCACCATACTGTATTAGCTCTAGTCTGATGTTTGAGCATTACAAATAAAGATTTGACCTAATTCCCAAAATATACACTGAAACAATGTGTAATCCTACTCAAAACAAATATTTTTATGACTATGCAATAATTTTCTGTCAATGGCACCTCAGCATTTATATCTTAAATGTATTAGTCTCTTCTCCATAAACAGGTTCTTTAACATTATGTTGATGTCAATTCTTATGATCGCATGGTAGGTTCATCTCACTTCACTGATATCTAAGATGTATATTTGTGGCAGTGGTGGGATTTAATTTTTTTTACTACCGGTTCTGTGGGAGTGGCTTGGTGGGCCTGGCAGGGAAAGGATACTGTAAAATCTTCAGTCAGAGGTGGGATTTGCCAGTTCTCCAAACTATTCAAAATTTCTGCTACTGGTTCTCCAGAACTGCTCAGAACCTGCTGAATACCACCTCTGGTGTGTACTCCACAGAAAGTTCTGTGGAGTACATCAATACACACTGAATTACGTTGCAAGAAATTTTAACTTTTTACAATTCTGCATGATTTCTTTTTGGTTTTAACAAATTAACCAAAGAGTTCAGGCCACAAAACCTGTTTTAAAAACAAAAAATCCTGGAACATCAATTCTGGTGGTAAAGTTTTAATTATACAAAATTGGCTGTATTAAAGTGAGTATTTCTCCTCTTCATCTCTGACAGAACCCTATCAAATTTTCTTGGAATCCTAGGCTTCCCCAAAGTATAGTTCGAAATCCTCTGGATTTTCTTATAAATAAGTTGGTGGGACAAAACCTGTCCTTTGAAGAATCTTGTTTGTGGCCTGACGCTAGAAATGGCTGCTTTCCTAAGGACCTACCATCCTGACCTTCTTTGCCCATGAAAATTCGTAATGGACATAAGGGATTAAAAATGGCCTTTGAAATGTGAGAATGTGAATGTCCAGCAGATGGCACACTTCCCCCAAAGGGAAGCCACAACAGTAAGTAGCTGTACTGTATGTGTATATTTCCGCACCCCAAAAAAACAGGCAGGAAAATTGAGAATGAAGAGCACAGCTGGTAACATTTTATAGATGCACTATGCAAAAACTCCATGCAAATTATGAGGTGTGTTCAGAAACAGTTTGCCTTGTACTTTTCTAATTGCTCTTTCCTCACATCTGTGTAGTCATCAGCAGTTGTAGCTTCAAGCAAGGGAAACTAGAATTATTCAAATTTCCCCGTCTAGTTTTATTGGACAGGCAGAATTTTTCAAAAGACAGCTGTTAGAATTGTTTTCAGTGAGAATTCATAGAGGCTAATGTATTTGAGATGGAGCAAACATGGACATGTGTGCATGTCATTACTAATCAATTCATTATTTTGTTGATTTTTTAATCAGTTTTCAGTTGCCAACCTGGTTCTCAGCCTATTAAATCTAAAGCAATTTAATAAATGTAAAATCAGGAAATTCACACTTATGCTTATTTTAACTATTCAGTAAAAGCATGCCAGGAATCAAGTTATAAACCAGTTATAAATCTTATGATAGCCATGGAATTCAACTATTTCCTGGAAATCATTCATCAGTTCCATGCTAAGTAACGTGCATAAAATAAACCTACAATCCTAGTTCTTCTATAGAAGTCACTTTTAATATATTATCTGCTTCCATGTGGAAGAGACTCCTCTAGTGAATTGGGGCTTTCCTGATGTGTAACAACTTCTTTGTTTCTGCGGTCCAGACAGATAACAAAAATAAAATATTAACTGTGCCTCCTCGATACTATGCTTAACTTTTTGCGTGGTTTGTTGTTACAACTGTTCACTTTAGAAATGACAAGCTTGAAGCAACGGAAAGTGGAATTATTCAAATTGTTTCCTCTAGTTTTATTTGAGTTTTGAGACACGGGCCAACCGCTCACAATGGAAGATATTGCATATGTCAGGCGGTGATGGGGATGGAGGTTGCAACGCCCTGATGAATGAAGTGGTCCTTTTGCAATTTCTTTTCGGGGGGTGGGGAGAAAAATAGAGCGGCCGTGCAGGCACTCCCAGGACTCATTCGCCTTTGTGACGCAGGTGCTCAGGTGTATCGCTATGACATCACTCTGTCAGAGGCTCTGCGATTGTGACCTCACACTGGCCCGGCCCAATGAGGAGCGAGCCTGGGGGGGGGGGGGGGCGCCGGGGGGGGGGCCCCGGCGGGGGGCGGGCGCCGCGGCGGCGCGGGGGGGGTGGGGAGCAGCAGGGGGGGGCGGGGGGGGCGGCGCTTCAGAAAGCGGCCGCAGTTGCCTTCCCTCCTCTTCCTCCTGCTGGTCCTGCTCCTCCTCCTGCTTTGGCTCCCGTTGGGCTGCTTATACCCCTATTGGGGGGTGAGGCGGCGGGGATGAGCCCGGGTGCCCTGCAGCCGCCGCCGCCGCCTCCTCCTCCTCCTCCTCCGCTATCACCGCCGCCATGAAGCGGAAGACTTCGGGGTTGGGGAGCCGAAGGTACTCGGCCCCGGCTACTCTGCCGGCCACGACACCGCCGGCATCCAAGAAAACTCGGAGCTCCGCCGCCCTGCCGATCTTGGGCGAAGCAGAGGAGCAGTCCCCCCGAGCCCCCAGGCGCGACATCTGCCTACAAATCTCAGGTGAAGAAAGGGGCGCTGCGAGGAATCGGGGAGTCTGAAACACCCCCTCCCTCCCAACTAGCGGGGCGGTTCGTAGGGACGTGCCTGTGAGCGGACGACTTCTCGGTCTCGTTAAGTGTAGGATTGGGGGGGTGGGGGCTTCTGAACCTAATAGTAGTAAACAACTCCCGTGGAGTTAGTTTCCAGAAGTGCTGCTTGGTTGCTCCGATGTGGGGCTTTGGTGGGTGTTTGCAGTGCTTGGGGGGGTCGGAGGCGACCCATAAACAAGCGCGAACGTCTGGATCCGTTTCTCGTTTTGAGGTGCCTCCCAGTCTCGGGGGGGTTAAAACTGGAGGAAAATCTCAGTGAATGTATTTTTTTGAGAGAAGGTTTCTAATCCCCGTGGCTGCCCCTCGGCGGGGTGGGGAATGCTGTAATTGTCTGAGGAAAACATAAGGTTACCGTAATACTCAGATCGTATATTACCCAAATTGCAGGTCAAACCTTGGAAAATAATTTAAATGCTTCAGGCGTGAAGATGCAGTTTGAAAAGGCCGAGCGTTTCTTTCACTTTTTCTTGTGCTACTTTCTTCGGCAGGATTGGTATTCGAGTAGAGAGGGAAACAATACTTTTTATTTTTTGCTGAATGC